CGGGGCGGGCGGGGCTCCCGCGCCAGAGGCGAGGCTGCTGGAGCCAGCCCGGGAGCCCACAGCGAGCGGTGCGCGGGCTCCCTCCCAGCGGGCGCCATCGAGGGCGGGGAACGGGGCGCGTGGACCCGCTCTGGGCGAGGGGCTGGCGCTGTTTAACTCTTGGGCAGGTAATTCCCTCTCTCTTGGCCTAAGGTAATGTACTTTAGGGAGCATTATACACAATAGTTTTCAAACATTTAATGGAAAATTAAAGGATGCTTTTATTAATCGAAACCACATGCGGAAGCCCACTGTAAGCAGATGAGAGCGGAGCTGCTTTGATGAAGTTTGGGACTCTGGGTGGAGCCGGCAGAGCGGCACTGGCGGAGCTGGAGTTGGGTCCCCAGACTCTACTGCTATTGGCTTCCCTTGGGGGGAAGACAGCCACTCTGTGTACTTGCCTGGTTGACAACCTCTGATACACACCAAAAATTCATTGGATGGCCCAGCGGGGTGGCTCAGCGGTTGAGCATCGATCTAGGATTCAGGAGTTCGGGGTTCTATTCTAGGGCATGACCAGGTTGCCGCTGGGTTGTGGGCTCCATCCCCAGTGTGGGGCGTGCAGGAGGCAGCCCATCAATGACGACTCTTTCATCATTGATGTTTCTCTCTCTCTCTCTCTCTGCCCCTCTCTGCAATCAATAAAGATATATTAAAAAAAAATTCATTGGATGGAATAGAATTTAAACTACCATGGTTAGAAATGAGGCTTTACACATGAACTTTATTTTGGGTGCTCTATACAACTCACAAGAATAGACCTCATCTTCAAGGCATTTCCATTTCTTCCAAGATCTTCATTTCATTTCCCTACCCCTCCAGCAGCTCAAGCAGGGAAATAGTGGCCATCCCTCTCATATGAATAGTTATTAATACAGCACATCTGGAAACTACAACTGGTTTTTCATTGTTACTGAAATTGACCTGTATAGCTTTCTATTGTCCTCTGAGTGTCCTTGAGGAAGAACCTCTTCCCCTGGAGGTATCCTTTTGATTTTCTTCCGTTGCTCATGGGGGCTAGCCAAGGTTTTGTGCATCTCTGAGTCTCAGATATCTAAAGTTGGTGACATCCTAGGACATTGTGCTCAAAAATATGGAAGGGATAAGTAGACACATTTTCTTACTGGCATTAAAATCCCCTGGAAGGGTGCAGGATGCAGTGTGCAGATGATGTTTTATTGGGTTATATACTTGAAACCTGTATGGCTTAATGAACCAATGTCACCCCAGTAAATTAAAAAAAAAAAAAATCCTCTGGAAGGACACCAAAGAAAATAGAAACACAGCCTGACTGTGAAAACAAAGCATCATTTAAAAAACAAGTAAGCTCAGTGGGCTAGAATTATTACTCCCTTATTAAAAGCAACTTTAGGACAATACAAAACAAACACAAATAACCTGAGGGGGTTATTAAACCATACAGAGATGATCCAGACAGACAAGGTCCTAGCCCTCGTGAGGTTTGTATTCTAGTGCGAGAAAACAGGGAAGAGAGGGGAGGGGAGGGGAAGGGAAAGAAAAAAAAAAGAGAGAGAAAAGGAATAAAATCAGAGTTGTAGGTGCTGAGAAGGGAATTAAAATAAAATGATGGATGGTGTGACTGGAGGACTCTAGATTGGATGGTTAGGGAAGAGCTGTCTCAGATGAAACATCTGAAGTCTAAAGGAATCATTAATGCTAACATCAGGGGCATTCAGGCAAGAGGAACTGTTTGCTCAGGGAATATACACTTAAGATCAGACCAAACAAAATATAATTAGCAGTATAATTTGTGCCTCCACTAAATAAGTTTTCAAAAACCTTTATTTCCCTTACTCATATCTCTGTTAAAATGGACTATTTGATCAGAGTCCAATGTGGAGAAACACAGCTCAGCAGCAAACATAGAGACAACTGAGAAATGTTAGCTGCTGAATGGAATAGACACTTCTGATAGAATATCTTTCTTTGGCTATTAATGTGCCATCCTTCCTAGGCAAGAATTCTACCTTTTCTTGTTATCAGAGTAGGAAAGAAGAAAAAAACCCAACCCAAACCAAACCAACAGTCCCAAACCAAGAAACCCAACCCAACCCAAAACATCCCACCTCACCCCAAATAGAAATAAGCCCAACTTTAGCCTTGAGAGACGAGATTGACATCAGGGTGTGACATCATTATATTCCACATTAGTTGCAGCAAAAGAGCAGAGAAGAGGTGAGGCTTTGGAAAGAATGCTCAAGGAACTACACCCTTCCTCCTTGATTGTTTAGATGAGACTTGCAATTGAATACTAAGAATATACCAGCTATAAATTGTTTGACCAACTCACCTGCTCTGGACTGAACTGTGTCATGCCCAAATTCACATGTTGAAGCCCCAAGCTCCTCTTGTGACTACATTGGAGATGGGGCCTTTAAGGAGGAGATTGAGGTTAAATGAGGTGATAAGGGTAGAGCCCTGATCTAATAGAATTGGTGCCCTTATAAGAAGAGGAAAAGACACCAGAGCTGGGCTTTCTCTCTGTCATGTGAGGACACAGTGAGATGGCAACTGTCCATAAGCCAGGAAGACAGTCTTCACCAGAACCAGACCATGCCAATACCTTCATCTTGGACTTCCAGCCTCCAGAACTCTATGGGGCACAGAGATGATGCAGTAAAATGAGTGAAGGAGCATAATCCCCCCCCGCAAATCGGTGCTGGAAAAGGAGCTAATGAGATTGTGGTGACTCAAGGATTTAGTGTAGAATAAAAAAAAACTTTATTTTTTATAACTTGGAATTAATGTACTGTTTAAAACCAAAGTTTAGTAATATTTTAAAATATTATTTTTTCATTTATAGCATGCCATTTGAAATGTTTGTTGAGTGAGTAAATGAATATATGAAAATGATACTACTGATCCCCTAATTTACATTTTCCCCCCGGTATTGAGGTTAACTTTATGTTTGACCAAGACCAGGCCCCTACCAAGTGGGAGTGTATCAGCTACACCCTCCCCAAACAAGCTCATGGCTGCAGGATGACTTTAGGGGCCTTCACGGGACTCTTCCTTTATTAAAAATTTAAAAATTATAGTTTATAATGGCATTCTTCTTATTTTAAAGGAAATGAACACAAAAACTTTTTCACGATCCCATAAAAGTACCATGAGCCATTGGCACTGTACCTTCGGGCCCTGACAGAAAGGTTCGTTCTCTGTTTCTGGGGTCTGAGTCTGGCTTCCATCACTTACTAGCTGTAAGATTGGGTAGAATTACGTGGCATCCTTATAAAGGAGATGAATGAAGGCATAACAATATGAAGAAAAATATTCCTTGTTAGCAAGAAACTTGTTTGGTTGGGGGAGACTTTGATCCGCGTCTTGGGATGGGGTGCGTTGGAGGAATAACACACTGTCCTGTGTGTGGCGCAGGGAGCACCGGAGCTGGTAAAGGAATTTAGGGGGTCAAGGACAGAAATGTCAAAGGGAGAATCTTACAAAGA